AAAAAAAAAAAGGCCGAGCTTGTGGATGTTTTTAATGTTGGCCCGCCCTGTTCCCGTGCGCCAGCTACCAGCGAAGTCAAAGCTAGCGCGAGCCCAATGCTCTGTGCATTCCTGACTCGCGCGTGGGCTCGTGCAGTGTGGGCATCATTACGGGCTCCATGCGCGCGCTTGTAGCTTCGGCTGCGCTCGCACCGAAGCTGAAACAAAGTACTATAGTTGAGTTGCACCAAACTCTGGATGTGGTGCTGGTAAAGCCTCACCGTCCTTTTCGGAGCACAAAGCACTGCGCAACTCGCGTGACTGCGGTGTCTGCTCCGCGGGTGTCGCTTCTCTGCAGCGCGACGGTGCATGCCAAGGAGCGCACTCAACGGGTTAACTCGCCGTGATCCGATCGTGACTTCGCCAGCACATCGAAAATGAATCGGAATATTTGAAGCGAATATCAGATACCGCAACATTTGAAGCTGCTGCCCGAAAGACAACTCTAATCTGAACTAAAACATTCCACAACAGGGAGGGTCGTTAGAAGCTGCTGCAGATACCTTAAAACAGGGGTCTCAAACACGCGGCCCGCGGGCTGCATGCGGCCCGCGACTGGCTGAGAGGCGGCCCACAGGCAACCGGCTGCGAGTCCCCGTTTTGATGTCTCGAGCGCTAGAATGACATCTGTCATAGTGATCCCATCTCGTCGATTCATTTTCGCTCGAAAAGTATAGCTCTGCTCTTTTAGCATGGGCCCATATTTTATACTTCTCTGTGTTCATTTGCCCTTTGTTTCGCTTCATTTCTTGCTTCCCAGCTCTTTGTAATGTACAGAGATCCTGCTACTAGCCTGCAACCTCGAGCTATTCGTTGAAGGATGCATGTCGGCTGCACAAACTCTTGCTTAGCAGGAGCAAGTGCTTAAGATAAAGCTATGAGCTCGGGATTCTCGCCTTCAAAACAATATCACAACTAAAAGACGGGTATTTGTTCAGAGTGTTACAATACCAATTATGAGGAATCGAAAACTGTCAAATTATTGTTTTTTAAAGACATGTTCGCTCTCTTGTCCTATTAAAAATGCCAGCACGTTGGCGGGGCAGTGTATTTTTAATATCTGTTATCACATCAGGGCAGAACCCAAAGTAGTAAAAAAAACTAATCAGATTTAAAGATTTTGTCGGAAAAACTGTGATTTTACGAAAAGCATGGGACACGAGGTCTCTTCTCAATACAATCTTCTAACCCCCCCCTCTCCCCCCCAGTCGTATATTGGCCCTCGGTTTTTCCGGTGTGGGTTATCTGGCCCCCACACTCAGATGAGTTTGAGACCACTGCCTTAAAAGAAGTGCAGGCTGATAAAACTAAATATCCTGTACCATCAGAACTCAGTGTGTCATATTTAATTGTATTTTTTTATCTGACGGGCTGATAAATTTTATTTAAAAAAATGTTTTTTTGTGTTTACTATGTTGAATTTTATATATCCTGTCTTAAAAAAGGCGACTGGCACTGTGTTCCAATAATAGAGATGGGCTTTATATAGCAATGCAGCATTATTTCATTTTTAAGTAATATGCCAACATATGCCGGACCCTGTTCCAAAAGGGCCACTACCTGCTCCAAAACAACATTTTGCCTGCTACAAGGCCTGCTCCAAAAAGGTCAAATGGCACTTCCATCACTGTATTAGGAATTTAAGCACTCTAAAGTAATTAATGAACTAAGTATGCCGAACGTTGTCAGCTTTCCCAAATGGACCCTTTGGCTTACACTAGTACGATGTTTCCTTTTTTCTGCGTGACGCATACTTTTTGCAGGAATAATTTGGTCCGCTTTTTTAAGAAACTCCCAATAAATAGTTACCTTTAAGCTAATAACGTGCTGGGTGAAAAAGAGGATAATCCTCATATAAATGAAAACTAGATCAAAGTGTGGTGCGGGAGAGGCGCCGATAAAATATTAGTTTCACCTTACCTTGTTTTCGAAAAATTCATTGGTAATTTTCTTTTGGGGGTTGCAACCTCTAAAAGCAAGGAAACCATGCCATCATGTGCATATGCAAACTGCCAAATGCCATCAAAGCGTGTCATTTTCACATGTAGGCACCTGCGACACCCTTGTTTTCGTCCGAAGTATCGGCACGTCAGCATCAGAGTTCTTTTTTTATGACTTCATTGAGTGATGTTGCAGACAGTGATCTTCTGGTTGCCATTTGACGTAGCAATAAGTCCACATAAGCGCGGCATGCCATTATTCAAGAGCACGTAAACTTCTGCGGAGCAGATAGGAGTCGTAAGCAGAGAATACTCTGAGACTCTACACCTTTTTCACTTTTCTGAAAGCATGGCACGAGCGCAACCGCACAGATCGAGGGACCGCAGCACTAGAGCGGATTGTTAAAAGAATGAAATGAAAACGAGAGAGGAGCGCAAGAGCAGAGCGGATTTGTGTCGTGGGAAAGGAGGCAAAGGGCAAAAACAGCGAAAAACCAACAGCAACACTGCCAGCAAGGGAAATGGAACAAAGAACAGCCTCCCAGAGGACAGAGGGAGGAAAAATATACGTCTGCCGGCACAGCGTGCAGTTTCGTGTTCATGTTTTGTCTGTTTTTACCAGCGATTCTATTCGCCAGGATCGTCGTATGATGCAAGATACGTGCATTCCTACATCATGAAATGCTAACTTTTCATACATAGTTTCTATGGGCAGTTTGCATGGCCCACATCAAATCGTCATAAAATATGGGACGTCGCATTAACGGGATTCCACCGTATTAAGCAAAGTAGTCAAGTCACTGCAATTTTTTCAGGCCACACGCAACTTCCTATGAGTTGCGCAGTTGCCACCTCACAGATTGTGGTCAAACCACCAGAAGGGCCATTCAATGGGCATCTTGGTGCAACAAATGTGATGTCTGCTCTTTTTTATTTATAAAATATGGTACACACAACACATACATTCCTGTGGGAGTCCTGCGGAACTTGTATTCGGGTACCTAACGTTGGGCAAAACGTATCAACCAAGAATGTATCAACAATGTTTACCTTTTAACCCTTTGATGGTCGTCACTGTACATGTGCGGCAGTGATTACATATTTGAAAGTGCCCGCCTACTTTCGAAACTGCGCGCTAGCGGGAGATGTTGCTATTTGTTATGTCTTTGGCGAACTATAAACATTGTATTTGCTCGCTGTATTGCTTTGCTGGGCTATTTATAGATTTCAAATGCTCCACACCTGTGAGGGTCACTTCGCATACTGGCCGCTCTGGCGGTAGTGCCGATGGGAGCACTGGCTCTTCCAATTCGGACTTCCAACGCTTTTCGGATATAAATTCAGAGGATGAGAGCTCATCATTTGGCGGAGATGATCTGTAGTACCTTCGGTTAGTAATCTGAAGCCGCCGGAATGTCACGGAAGTGGATGCACCAAAATGAAATGGAATGGAAGAAAGGTGACAACTTTTCGCCTTTATTATTTTTATTTTATGCTCCTAAATCTAAACAGCTTTCAAGCACTACCATCTCCCGCCAGATAATTAAGAAATAACCTGCGCGTTGACCCTTTCTACATACTACAGTCGAGCCCGGATATATTGAATTCAAAAGGGATCGTAAAACAGGTTGATATATCGCTAATTCGATACACACAAATATGTTAACTTAAGCTCGGTTGAAATTTCTATGCCTCTCTGCTAATACCGAATACCGTGACAAACAGGACCTGACCAAATAGAGCATCTAAGAGCCGCTAAATACAGTAGAGCATAGTTAATAATAATAACTTTATTTTCCAAATGAATTGGAGGGGCAGAAGGGAAAAACGAGCCTGAAGCCCCATACGGTGACAGGCGCAGCAGCACAAGAAGAAGAAGAAGAAAAAAAAAAAAAAAAGAAGCGCACACACGCATATACATAAGAAAGACAAAAAAAAACTTCATCAGAATTATTATAAACACTACAGAGTAGACACTGTTGTAGCCCTAAAAATAATATTATACAGTTCAAACAAACAAGTAGATAATAGGTAACATAGTAGGCATCGATGAAGTGAAGATTGCACGCGGCAGTGTTTGTAATTGTTTACGGGTGCGCCTGGCCACAACCTCCACACAGCATTGGCAACAAAACACAAAAATAAGTTCAAAAAATGGAAGAATGGGGAAAAGCGAGCCGCATAAAAAAAACTCGATCCATAGAATAAAGTTAAACAAGCAACAAAAAGAAAGCTCACTAAATTCAGGCAGCAAAAAAAGAAAGGCAAAAAAGGGCAAAGCAATAATGGCAAAAGAAGGTAAACAAAGATAAGGCAGTCAAATTGTGATTGCTCAACTGTTGTCAACACACTCAACTTGAGGAAGACGTTTTTTCTTTTTTTTTGCTTATTTTACTTGTGGGTTAAGGAGTTGTGCAGCGACAGCAGTGTTGGGGAAAAGAGCGCACGCTATTGTTTCAACAGCGGGCACTCCCTGCCCTCCCATCGCACTCGCGTTCCTTTCCCCTTACTTTTGCCATCCTTCATGTTTATTTATTTATTTTCTTGCGTTTTTTTTTTACAACACTTCCTGCATATTTTTAATAATTAAAAAGCGCAACAGGACAACGGACGCAGAAGGAGACACAGACACAGCGCTGTGTCTGTGTCTCCCTCTGCGTCCGTTGTCCTGTTGCGCTTTTTAATTATTATGAATCACCAACTCGCCCAACTTTCTTTTCTACCCTTGCATATTTTTGTGCGCGCATGCTGGCATGGCGCCCTGTCAGCCCCGCAACATGAGCTATGTGCTCCCCGCCGACGCAGTCTGACCGCGGGAGAGGCGATGGGCGGTAGGGATGTTTGAACTGTTCAATATAAACAACAATTTGAAATACCCGGGTGTGATATAACCGGGCTCGACTGTAATACTTTGGAAAGAAAACCCGACTACTGGGAAACTTCTTTTTGGGAAAATAGCTCGACCATCAAAGGGTTAAAGGGGTGCTGGCTCTTAATTGAGCTGCCTGAATTGGTTGGCAGGGCCATCCGACCGCTGCCACTGATGCGGGCCTTCGCGGTGCACTACACGAATCCCCGGTACCAGGGCTTCATGCGGCGCCTGGGAATCGCCATCATGAAGTGCACCCGCAATCCCATCAAGCCCAACATGGAGGATGCCATCATGTCACTCCAGACCATGATCTTCTCGGACTACGACCAGGTAACATCTTGTGAACTCGGCTTGGCTACACATGATTTCGTAACAGACGAGCCCAGAATCGATGAATGTTCCCAAAAGTGCTCGTTTCGTAACGTCTGAGCATGGCAGACAGCTTACAAATTGGTTGCTCACATTTGTATGCACGCAATCTGTGACAGTCGCGAATATTGAGAAAGGACATCTAACTTTTTGCTAATGTTGAACTCCGCTCAGTAACGCTGAACTGTGTTCAACATTGTTGAATTGTTTGCGGCAATGCTGTGACAATGTCGAGCGCAACACAAAATTACCTTGTTACAGTCACCGACCAATTTTTCAGACGCCAATAATTCAAACTTGTTCGATATTCCGGACATCGACGGGGAATGGCGACTTACCCAATTGAATTAATACATATTAACAACCAGTTTTTCAAACAGTTTACAGCACAAAAGTTAAATTTTTTTAACTAAAATACAAGTGGCGACCGCCAATAGGATGCCATCTTGGATCTTTTGCTGGCTTAATCGTGGGCTTGATCGTGGCTTGATCAGGGCTTGATCAGGTGGGTTTGGATAAATTCGGCAGAGCGCTATTTGCATACAAAATGCATGCCATGGGACACCTAGCGGCAACCAGCCGCTACATGTCCTATGGTATGCATTTTATCTTTTGGCTTCGCATCATCATCGTCTTGGTTTCTTTGTTTGGTCGATTTTCCATCTCCAGCCAAAGCCAGTCGCCATTTGTGAACTGTGGAGTATGTCTTCGCATATTCACACCTACGTCTCGCGGTTTTCGACCTCATAGCCCCACCTCTTGCATTTCCGCCAGTTGCCCCGAAGGAGCGACGCAAGTACACTACAATGACGCTGGAAAGAAAAGCGGCGATTTTAAAGCTCCTAGATAATGGCCGGACGCAATCCGACATGGTGAAAGGGTTTTAGTTGCCCAAGCAGATGTTATCCGATTGCATGAAAAACAAGGAAAAGATTTTTTCTGCACTTGACAGCTCGCACAATAAGTACCAAAAGAGCGACCGAAAAGGCAAAAATCCAGCCTTGAAGGAAGCTCAGCAACTTTGGCTCAAAGGAGTTCTTTCCAAGAGCCTTTCAGCGTCAGGTGACACCCTCAAACAGAAAGCAGAGATTCTTGCTCTGAAAATTAACTTTGAGAACTTCAAGTTCACTGATGGATGGTTGCGTGGCTTTAAGAAGCGACATTGAATTTTGTTGAAAGTGTGCGGGGAGAGTGGAGTCGTCGACCAGATCACTGTCGTGGACTATCACTTGAACAAACTAAAGGCATTACTGCAAGAGTTTGCCCTCGAAGATGTTTTCAGTTGTGATGAGACCAGCCTTTTTTTCAAAATGCTACCGGACTGGATGCTGTGTTTTGACAGTGACTCTTGCATAGGAGGAAAACACGGCAAGGAAAGAATCACCGTCATGATCGGGGCGAAGGCGGTGGGCACCGAGAAGTTGCTGCTCCTCATCAGGAAGGCAAAAACCCCAGGTGTTTTAAAGGGATGCAAAGACTTTCTGTCAGCGACAAGAAAGTCCAACTCGGCGTTATCGGCTCGACAAAAGATTCAAGGAGTTTCAAAGATCTGGAGCAGCTTGCCGTGTGGTATTCCAGCAACACCAAGGAATGGATTACGCACTGCTTGTTCGAAGACTAGTATTTGCGCCGTCTGGACCGGGTGTTCGATCGCCAAAAGCAACATGTACGTAGTTATGTTTGTCGATAACTGTGGAGCCCAGGCACTGTGGACAACCTCAAAGCCATCCGACTTGAAATTTTGCCCCCTAACGCTACGGGTGTGCTCCAGCCAATGGACCAGCGACCAGCATACACGCCGCCGGACAAGACGACAGTCACCCGACTGATCGAGAACCCGGCCGTCTTCCGCAGAACCCTTACACAGCGCTTCGGAACTTAACTATGGTGCTTGAAGTACGACCACATCTTTTGGTCTTCTCTCTTATTTTTAAAATAAATTTATGCAGTCTAAAGTTGACGAAATACCTTTGCTCCTTCGTGGCATCTCTTTTGAGATTTCCTTCAGGACAAGTACAATTGGTGTCCCGGAACATTCATTTATTTAACCTTCTCCTCCACACCGAGTACCATGCCGAACAACAGGGACGATGCCCATTCTTTTGTACAACAGGAACAGCAACAGCAACAGCCCTCCATCGCATCCGTGGCTCTGAAACAGCCACCATTCTGGCCCGCTGACTCAGCTCTCTGGTTCACCTAAGTGAAGGCCCAATCCAACACTCGTCGAATCCCGGCACAGGTGACAAAATTTAACCACATCATCGCCACCGGAATCAGCTGAAGTTCGGAACATCATCTTGGTGTCTCCCGAAGGTGACCTATTCGACAAGCTCGAATCCGAGCTCATCCGACGCTCTTCTGCGTCAGAACAAAAGCACCTCCAACAACTTCCGACAGCCGAGTACCTGGGAGACAAAATACCATCCCAAGGAACCGCATGATGCAGCTCCTCAGTAAGAAAGCATCAAACATGGATGATGCTCTCCTCTATCAACCTCCAGAGATTTTCCTCCAGTGTGTGCATGGCTCTGGCGGACACTGGCGACATCCGACTCCATGACCTTGCGGCTCTCGTCGACAAGGTGCTTGAGGTTGCGTCTCCAACAATTGCCAACATTGAGACTTCGGCCCAAATACATTGTGTGACCATGAGTGCACCATCTGCATCACCCGCAAGTGCCGATTTCTGCACACTTAAGTCGGAGATACGGAGCTTGCAACTGGCCGTGGCTGCGCTCCACATCGAACGGAGCAGATCTCCGTGCATTTATTACCGGGCCTGCAGCCAATCTTACTCCAGGTCAGCTCCTAGTACCATCTGCTGGTACCATCAGACCTTTGGCAACCAAGCACACAAGTGCAAGCGCCACCCTGCTCAGCGGCGACGGGAAACACGATGCCCCAGCACTGAGTTTGGCTAGCAGTGCAAGCTACACGGGGTGCCGGCTCTTCTTTTTCAGGGACAAAACTACGGTTTTGCAGCTGTTGGTTAACACTGGGGCCGACGTCAGCAGCACAGTACATCGCAGTACATTACGAAACTTGCATACTTTCAAGCCTAAGTTGCTTTAAATTCGTACAAAGTTGCTGATCTGCAGACCCCAAGGGTCTGCTGGCCATGGCAGCTGCCGTACTTCCAATGTCGTCTTTCTCATTCCCGTTTTTTTCTGTTACACATTCAGCCCGCTTTTCCCCAAACACAGCTGCTTTACTGTACAACAACCTTTACTTGTTTCTCTTCACACATGTTTCCATCTCACTCATGGCCGCCCTGAGAAGGCAATTGCTTACGAAGAATCGAAGTGGCGTAATTGGAACATGCAATCATAACAAACTCTTGGACTTGCGTTAATAATGTAAATTCACAGGTCGATCAATTGCATCATGGGTGCATGAATGGTTTCTTAAAACTACCTAAAATCTCTCTACAAGCAGGTGGTACTCAACCACAAATAGACTTGGCTCTCAAGCTTGCAGATTTCGCAGCAGACGACCCCTGACTAGCAGACGACAGCTGACTCCCGCGTCCCGCACGTCTGGTGTAGCGATACATACACTCCTGAGGAGTGAAGTGGTTAGGGTTGTGCAGATAATCTAATAGTAGTTTCAAATAATACGCTATTTGATATTTGCTTCGAGACAAACTGCGATATTTATTCTTTTTTAGGTGTCAATCGCGGTGGGTTAGCCTTGTTGAGTGCGCTTCTCACCGAGCCCCTGTACTATTCAGCGGGGAAGTAATGCCCACAAAGCTCACGTGCTGTGCAGGTATTGTTTTCCTGCAGCACATTAGAGCTCGGCGAGAAGCACACTCAACGGGGCTAACCCGCCGCAGTTCGCAAGAGCATGTGTTAGGCAGTGATGTCTTAACAACCTGCGTTCATAATTCCTGCTTTTTTTGTCAAATTGGGAAGCTAGTTTGTAAATCCCCTCGATTAGGATAGCTGCAACAAATATGTTGTTTACATGCCACAGTTCATACATAAGAGGTAACTGAGCTTAGGTGTGAACGAGTGGAAGGTTAGAAACAACCTTTATAATTTCCGCAGGAGTTTTTTTTAATTAAGCATGGCACACGATAGTGAAAGGCCTGGAGAAACTATTTGATATTCAATTCGAAAATATCCGGCCAAAACCGCTGTTCGCTTCTACTTCGCTCAGAACTCAATGTACACTATTTGCACATGCCTAGAAATGGTATAAAGGCCTCTTGGGGTGTGTGCCAGAGCATGCCTTCCCTTCCACAGGCAGGGCACAAGATCAAGCAGGTGGCAGAGAGCGGCACTCCGCTACTGATTGCCTTCAGCGAGAACGACCGGGCCATTAACCCGGAGGTCATCTTTAACATGGTGGACCTGATTGGCACCCGCAACGAGGACCTCTGGCTCTACGACGCCGACGGCAAGCTGGCCAGAGAAGGTGAGCAGACTGCATATGCGGTTCTCGGTACGAAAGGCTCCCCGTCGGCCCTAGCCTCCCCGGTACAGAGAGCCGACGTCACTTACTTTATGCTAGGGGCACAAGATGCGTGCACACTACTGAAGCTCCCGAAGCTTGCCTGGGAACCATGCCACAGTGCTGAAATCAATGACTACAGTACGGTGGCAGTCTCGAGTCGTGTTGACCTGGAGTGGGCAAACTGGCAGATTGCAGTCTAGCTTAAGTCCTAGCGAAAACCAACATGCCTTTTGACCGGCTGTCAATTTGCCAGTTCTTCTGAGGTACTGTGTGTAAACATTGTCAGCCAATCGGAAGGCTTGATTCGCTTGTTTCTCCAGCTCGAGTGGACGCCATGATATGTGGCCACTCTGGGGACATTCATGGACTCTAACCTAGGCATTTGGTGCGAGGAATGCTAGTGGCTCTCCGTTTTTATACTATGGTTAAGTTTTCACATCGGTACAGCCAAATAGTTTTGTATATTTCTCAAGCTGAGTAAAGCCCAAGTAATCATGCAGCAACTGCTTTTTCTTTGCCAACAGGACAGAGGCGCATAAAAAATGAATGAATCCCGCATTTATATCTTCTAAAGTTTTGCGCTTCATTACGAATTATCAAAGTAAAATTGTCGGCTTGTCGTCACTTCATCTTTGCTTTTGGGTATCTGAAAGTCGGGCGGCTGCCTCACCAACTGCTAAGGCTTTTGAGCTTTTTTTTTTTTTTTTTATTGAGCTGTCATTTTTTTTGCAACGTAATAAAAAAACTTGGCTTAGATTTATTTCTCAATGTTCATAGCCTACGCTATATATATGTTAGTTTTTGTCCACATTTAACAGTACTTGCAGAAACATAGAGAAATACAAGCAGCGTCCACCTTCTCAACTCGCGGCCCGAACGAGTGACTGCTTAATCTGGGGCCGAACGTATGCCGCCAACATTTGTCATAGCCGCGTGTTGCAATCTGGCAAGAAACATGGCGCGTGCCGAGTTTTACACATTGTTTGGGTTGTGCTGTTCCCCTCATTGCTGCGATGAGCGGGAGCCACTGCCCGAAGGGTCATCGAGGCATTAATTTTCATGAGCCCAAATCGAGTGCTCGCACAATGCTCGTGTCCAATGTATTGCCCACATTTAAATGTTGTCACCACTGGCTAATGCCTGTAATGACAGCAGCACTGCGATGTGCGTGGCCGTGCTGTGGACTTTTGCAGGCAAGAGACTCGAAGGGCAACTCCACCCAATTCAAAAAATTTTGAGATTACGAGTTATTTTACAATAAAAAGCACTAAGAAAAGGCACTAAAGTCAATTGCTTCGCGAAAAATGAAACATATCTTGTGAAATCTTACTTCAAGTATGAGCAGAAACCGAAACTAATGCTCTTTCGAGCAACGTTGGCTTCGGGCCGCCAAAAGCATGGCTACTACGTAATACGAGCGGTCGCATGATCCTCTACACAACGACTGGCAGGATTGGAGTTGCCCACCGTTTTGGGCGGGCGTATGCAAGTCACAAGTGTCGTCTGCACCGCAGTCTTCCCTCTTCATTTTATTTTGGTGTCTACGATATCCGGCGACGTCTTCACAACTGGCATCTGTCTCTTCATATTGTGAACAAAACTCCAAGAGACAATAATCAAAGCCGGCGAGGCGACGACGGCGGTTGGGACACGGGAGATGGTGGAACGGCTGGACTGGCCGGGCGGCTCCCAGGGATGGAACTGCTGCACCGATTGCGCCACTTTGTGCCTAATGACTTTTCATGCGCCGCACTGATACAAGAGTATAAATAAGAACAAAATTGCGCCAACGTGCATCCAAACTGAAGTTATAAAAAAGCCTCGTCGAAATTAGCCGTCTTGACGTCACATTGACACCGGAACTTTTGGCCCAAATGTGACGTTGGTGAATTCGGATCTGAAGATCTGCATCTGAAGGTTTGCACCTGCCGCCAACGTTGGCTGCCGTTGCTGCATGCTCACTGTGCTTTTCTGAAGTCCTGGAGTCACTTCAGGTGAAGATCAAAATAGTAGAGCAGACATGTGACTATTGCAATCTCACAGCTCGCGTTAGCCCACCCCGCGGCCCCGCGCAGAAAACTTATAGAGGCGAGTGAACAGTGAAGTGTATGACGGAGCAAGATACGAGCTGCCCGATAGTGGTTGCACTTTAAAGATTGTATGCGCAATGTCATGAGCTGCCTCAAGCGATTTGGCAGTGATGTCACAAAAGTGCTTTCGACAGCACACTTGCCGCAAGCTGTGAGGTTTCAAAAAGATTACTCAGAAAGGTTAGAGGTTGAAAAGCAAGAGGACGAGAGGCAGAAGAGGAAGAGCAGTGATGCGAGGGAGGCGAGCACGAAGAGAGTTCGTCTTCAAGGAGAAGACCGACAACTTGTACAGCGCATCATCTGTTTGCAAACTATGCACTTGAGCTTGCACAGTAATTGATTGAATCTGGTTCCAAAAAAAAAAAAGAAAAAGAGATGAAGAAGATTGAGTCTGGACAAGTGCTGTAGCGGAGGCTAATGCGAAATTGGCTCAGAATCTTGAAAAAGTGAAGTGTATCCATCAGAAATTGACTGAAGTCCCAATAGATTTATATGTACAAAGCCAATTATTGTCTTATTCTAGTCACTGAAAAATGAAAGACCATTTTCATACTTGCATTTTTATTTTTTCGTGCACCTCACTAGGTCAATGCTGAGCGATATAAGCTAGTATTTGTACCTGTTTATATTGGCCTCTTTCCATTTCGGTTTTATCATGTGTCACACTGTCATGTGCAATTTTGCTTTGTATATTCTGTGTAATTTGCACATAATTTTGTGAAAAATATGTGCAACTAAAACGTTTATTGAAACTTCCGTTAAGTTTACATGCAGTTATCTGCATGCCATGTTTTCTTTAGTTTTGAAAACCAGGTGACATTTAGCCTCTATTTCAAGATTCTTAAAACTAGTATGCTGCTCCCAACTTGCTCCAATACCTCGTTTTTCCTGCTCCCAGCCTGCTCCAAACTGCAGTTTTATCTGCTCCCAAGTTTGCTCCAAATCTGCTTTGCCCAGTTCCATCCCTGGGCTCCCAAGGCTAAGAAGTGTGCTGCGTAGGCCTTTTACACCAATCACACGGGCACCGCTGAGCCAATGCAATTTGCCAACACCCAGAGGAGACGCTGCTGATATCACCTGTTACGCTTACCCGGAGAAATAAAAGTACACACAAAAATCAATGCAAAACCCTCCCGCAATCGAACCTGTGCAAGAATGTGCACAGCACTACGATATAAAAACGTGCTATTGCAGACCTCGAAATCCTTACCTGTCACTGAGCAGCATTAAAAAATAGATTGGAACATGACAATATTAATTTGCAACACGAGAATGACGGTATAGGCAAGGTCTAAGACTCTTTTGGTCAATCTTAGTGGTGTTGCTTGCATCACAGTCTTCAATCTTCTTCCTTGCACTCATGATGGTAGTGTAGGTTACGTTTTTGTGTGGGCCTGCCGAGTGGTGTGCTGCGCCTGTAGCAGCTTTGCTGTGCTGCAGCTCGTAGACGGCGTCAGCTTCAAGCGGAGAAGCTGACGACCAGTCTGAGGTGAAGTGATCGACGCTGTAGGAGGCCGCATTTGCCTGTTGTTGCGTCATTCTCTTGTCTCGTCGGAACCGTGTTGACTTCTAAAGTCACGAGTGGGCTCGGCTCAGCGATGAAGGCTGGCGCGCTCCGAGAAGGAGTGCCTCGGTTGCATTCCAAGCATTATGAGTCATACCCGTTGGGGAAGTTCGGCTGAAAGGACACTTGCTGATTGTGTCCGTGCATGGCTGACGAGGCCACAAAGCCTTTGAGTGGCATCGGGTTTTCGGCATTCACTTGGGGGTACCATTTAGAAACGCAGAAGGTTCCTTGGGTCTGGGTAATGACGTGTTTATTTCACGACAACACCACACGTTTGTCCGAGGGCCAACAGAGTCAAAGATAACGGCGCTGTCTCTTTTGACAGGATCGCCAGCCGGAGTTTGCGCTGCTGCTATTGACAATATCACGGAGGGGGAGGATAGGATAAAGAAAGGAAGGCTCCGCCGAGCAGAGCCTCCCCCAATGAGAGTCCCTCTCGTCGGATCTCAGCCGTCTTATATAGCCCGCGGGAATGGACGCGCCCGATGTGGTCGGATGTAGGTTGGCTCCCCAGAGGGGTGGACGCGTTCAAGTCAAGATCCCGAGGGGTGTGCCTTCGGCAAATCAGTTGAGAAGGGCAAGGGAGAGCCATTCGCAAGGGAATACGGCCTCTCCTCGCATCCGCGGGGCGCCCTGACAAAGTGACGCCCCGTGGCCTGTTTGAGCGAGGCCTAGATAGGGATGCGGGGAACACGTGGTTCTCACAGTAGATATGCTTGGTGCAAGTTCGAAGTCCACAGCGATGTCTTTTATCTTTCGATCGCTGTTCTGGCGCCCTCAAAACCTTCACTTTTGTTTCTTGAGAGACGGCTTTCTGCTTTGTCGCCATTTGCAGCTCCGCAACGCGTGGCGTGGTTGGCTTGTTGGCTTGTTGGCTTTAGTCTGCACTGGTTCTTGATGTCGCACACAGGGGTCAGCAGCGGTGCCCCTGCCGTTATCCACTCGGTTCATAGGTGGTGCTACCTCCCGAAACACACATTTTGTAGCGTGAGCTACACTGGCCGAGGTTGAGCAGTTTTGTGTGGCTCCCAAAGAGCCGTGCTGCGCATGTGCGAAAAGCAGTGACATCACACAACGCACAGCTGGTGCGCCGGAGCTGCCGCCGCGGCGCGCGCCTCGCCGGTCTGCGCATTCCAGAGGAGTGACGTCGGCCGCGGCAGTTGCACTGGCACCTCTGCGTGTCCAGCTGTGCGCCTCCGTTGCGCAGTAGCCAAGTCTGACGCTGCACCGGAGCCGCTTGATAGCGCCTCTCATTTTGTGCGCATAAGCTCACGCTACATATATCCTGGCATAGCCGACCTAAGCCACCGCAATTTTTTTGCACGTCGAGCAATCTAAGCTTCCGGAAGTTTTCATTCTTAAACTTCTTTTTGTATTTTTTTCTACATTTTAATAACTTTTGTAGTATTTTGTGATGCTAGAAAAGCAGGAATTGCTTCGCTATAACCGGTAGCGGGTCAGATCTCACAGTTTCGGTTTCGTTATAAAACTAGAACTCCATTCAAATAAAGCTTGATCAACTGAATTTCGCGATTAGTTTGCT